AAGCATATGATGCTCTGTACTTCCTACATCACTCTCTTTTTTTTTTATTATTCGATTGAAAGCATATGCCCGGAAGATGACTCTGAAATTCTCGTTTTGTATACATATCTTGACACTTATTCTTGAGCAATGATGAAGTTATATGTCAGCAAGAGTCTCGACGAGTGTATGTGTGAAAGCAACACACTGACACATTTGTCAATAGATATACACATAAGGATAGACATATTTTCACATTGTGTAGAATTTTCCTTGACATTGTCGAGATCAATATCCGATTGTTAAGAGTATTTGTTTCTTGTCGAATGGTTTTTTTTTTCTAACATATATGTAATAAATATTTGTTTAAATAGTAGAACAACGACAAACATCTATTCTTTTCTTCATCATTTAGAATTATTATTGCGACAGTTGTTCTATATGACTATGTATACATTTAGAACAAAAAAAAAAAAAAAGAATTGTGAGATAATTATGTTACACTCCTCTTCTGTCTATCTTTATATCCTGACAAATTTCATCATTATTATCCCACTACTAATTGGAGTAAATATGTAAGTTTAAATAAAGACAAAGAAAAAGAAAAGAGAGTGATGATCTTCTTATGTAATTCTTTAGTGAGTATGTAGACTAATGATCATAATCTTAGTCTTCAATACTAATAGACAATGTTTCAGTGACAGGTAATGAATACAAATTTCATTCCATGATGCAATTCATTTCTTTAGAATTTCAATAAAATATTTTTCTTCATCATAATCGTTATCTTTACTATCCGAAAAAAAAAACAAAATAAAAAATAAAAAATTTCATTCAATCATACTGTTCTATTTATCATTATATATTAATTTTTTGTTATACATTATAGAAAAGAAATGCTTACAATAAGCAAAACAAAAAAAAAAAGAAGAAAACGTTGAAGATTAGAATATCTCTTGATTATACTCATCATCATCATCATTATTTTCTGGACAATAACTTGAATAAAAATGTTGATCAATTAAATGTAGATGAAATTTTTTTTTTCGTTTTAACCATAGATTAAGTATAGATGAAAGTGTTCTTTGTTTAATATTAAATTTAGACCAATTCGAACGAAATAAAAATCCATGTAAAGGACATGATGGTGCAAATATCGATATACGATTACTTGATTGACGAAAATTATCAAGAAGTTTTAATGAAAAATCATATGAATTTATATTAATATTATCAAATTGTAATTGTGTTAAATCAAATAATGATTGTATAATCATTATTTTAATTCTTAAAGGAAATAATTTAATAGCTTCACTACCTAATAAACATTTATAATTTGGTTTTAATTGACATAATTTTGATATTTGTGTATTCCAATAGATCATACCTTCATTAATTTTTGATATACCATTTGAATTATTTGTATAATCAATAAACCATGCTGAATCAATAATAACACGAATATCAATATTAAATGAAAATTTTCTTAATAAATCTGGTAAATTTAATAATAAACCAAGACCACCAGCTGAAAAGCCAATAAATAAAATTTGTTTTGCATTTGAAAAATAATTATGTTGATGAAATATAGCATGAAATATATCATAACCATGTGAAAAAGTTTTATTTGATGAACCAGACCATAAATCAGATGAACAATATGGTACATAAATAATATTAAATTCTTTAAATGATGTTAATATTCCTTTAAATAAATTTTTTTTATTAAAATTATTTGATGTTATTAAATTTGGTGAATATTGTCGACGAAAATCACATGATTCATTTGAATAACAAAACCAACCACCATCAAAATAAATTAACCAACGAGAATTATGATTATTATTATTTGTTAAATGTATATAATAAGATGCTATACTATTATCCATACAACGTGCTTGTGAATAATTCATTAATGATATACGTTGAAAATTTTTATTATTATTTGAAGATATTTTTGTTAAAGTTAATGATGGTAAATGAGTTTGTTGTCGATAAATAAGTGATAAAATAATTAAACATGGAATAATTAAACAAAGAAATAAAATAATTATTCCTATTTCAATTGAATATGATTTATGAGAAGTTTTTGTTATAATTAATTCAGGACTTGGCATTGATGATGATATAGATGATGTCATGATTAGATTTGAAAAAATTATTTTGACTTCATACATAGATATATATATATATATCGAATTGCTCTCCTTCTTTTTTTTTTCTTTTTGTTCTGCTATTATAGCGAAAAGAGAGAGAGACAGAGAGAGAGAGGAGGAAAAAAAGTAAGAGAGAGAGAACTATGATTAGTGATGGATAGCAGAACTAAGTGTTGACAAATCGACATATAAATTTGAAATGTATTCAATAAGAAAAAAAAAAGATGAACAACAATTCAATCATCATCATCATCACTCCATGACATATATGAACAAATAAGTATGAGATAGTTCGTCGTTAAGATGCAGATGTCTGACTGTGATTTACTCTTAGCTGTCAAGCTCGTCACATACATATGTTTAGTCTGTCTATTTAACCTGTCGTCTGCGAAAATTACAACGTCAAACAGATCATTGTCGGGAACAAAAACGAACTATTGAATAAATTTTAATCGCTAGTCTAAGCAACAGCAGGAAGCAATGTCAGATATTCAAGGATAGATAACAATATGTTACCATTTATGTTTAGTATTTCTACGATCATATCTATATAATTATTCAATCTATTTTAAGTTTATGTACTGATCTCTTGTTTTGGTAATAAATAATTAACTAACAGAAATATTTATAGTACAAATAAAATAAAATCAATCTATCGTTTATCATGGATCTGAGAATGATCACAATCATTTCAGATTACAATAAAAGTACATATATATGAATTAATTGATATTGATACTAATAATAGTTTCGATAGATAACTTGTTGAAAACACATGATATATGTAAGACTTGTTAATTGTTGTAGAAATCTAATTATATTTTTCAAAGAAAAACATTATGAGTGTCAGCTGTAAATCGAGGTTTTGTAGTTACTCTCCTTTTAGCAATAGGAAAGCAAGGAGACAGACTAACGATCACTGCGATATGTTCCAACATCAACTGAAGATAACAGACGACAGACTCATTTTCCAGAATTCTTTAGCAATCGAAAAGGGTGCGGAACAGAATTAACAACAAGACTTATACTATTCTAGAACATTCTAAAGCTTTTCTTGAAATTTGAACGGTTAGAATACGTCTGTAATATTTTCTTAGATGAAAACCTATGTTTGAGATTTTAAGGACAATAGGTAACGATGCATTGATTTGTTACAAGTTGTCTATTTAATTTATATGTATAATAGGCTTATTTATCAATTAAATCGATGATTAGAATAGTTAAAGTGTTACATTAAGAGATTTCTATATGAAATGTAAAAATCAATAAGACATGTGAGTTTATATTTTAAGCCTAAAATGGCTATACTAACAAAATTTGTTTATGATATTGTCAAAAAAATATTCTTTTTCATATTAGCATGACGACTGTTAATAAATACATAGAGACATAGTGCTCGAATATATTATCATACCTAGATTCATAGTAAAAAGAAAACAGTCAAGTGTAAATAAAACCAACCGTAGTATTTACTTATAGATTTAACAGAATGCTGGCTATTTCTTAGTATAGAATTACAGAATAGTGACATTTGCATGATCAAAATACGATGTGTCTTAAAAGTATGATCAGCTATATTATGAACAGAATGTGTATGATTACAAAGATAGTTTGCATGTTACATTTCAATGGTTATTATCAAACAAACGTTTAAATTATCGTATAAATAAATGGACTTTTTACTACTCATTGTTATTTTATCAATCACATAAGCAAAACGAACACATCATTCGAATTGAACATACTATTATTGTCATCATGTCAAATATGATTTTGTCGTATAGGCTATGTAATCAACTCAAAATTTTTACTATTTGTTATTAGTTGAGCATATTGATTCAACATATGAATATAACTCACATTTTGCTTATTTCTTTGTTATGCAAAACAATTTATTTTCTCATAAGACCCAGAAAGTATAACAAAAGATTATTTCAAGAAAAAGTTTCATATTCTTATTAAGTTTAGTAAAATGTTCTTCCATAGATGTCATCACTCTTCCATAGTTAAATTATCGACTATACAAAATGAATCATTCAATTTTTTAAATAGTTTAAATTTAGTTTTTTTTAGCATTATCCAAAGTGAACTCTACATGATCTCTTTTTATGCTCGTATAACCAAGAAGCAAGCTCGTGCAATTGTTTGTTTTTTACTTATTAGATTGAATTTATTCATTTTACAAAGTTTTTTTTTTTCGATTAACGATAGAACATCTTTTTGAACGAATTCGTGTACTTCAATTAAGTCGCATCATTCTTTCAACAGTTTAACTGAATCAGGAATTGATGAAAGAGCTTAGAAATGATCTAAACTTCAATAAAAGAGTGCCATATAGGAGCAAAAAAAATTTCATAATATTCAGCTACATCGATTAAATAACTTTGACAAAAATTTCTTCGAATTGATGCAAATTGAGTCGAACTTCTCTTGGATGATAGTTTATGTATTACTCTTCAGATACATATATTTAACATTCTCCACCTGAAAAGATGGCAAAGAGGCAAAAGAAATGGTGCTGAAGTTTATGAAACATTCTCTATTTAATCTATCAGACTACCTTATATCTTGTAAATGTTTTTTCTATATGGAACATCTTGTTTAGGAGATTTGAATATCGAAAACTGCGACGCATTTTCAGTGACCTTTAAATAAAGTGAACGATTTTTGTATCTTTGCCAGTTCTTCTTTTATTCGAAAAATTTACATATATTTGGTTCTATCTTGATAAAAGTAGATATAAATTTTAAAAGGATATAAAATGAAAGAAGAAATAGAAGATGATTGCTTGATTAGCATACTTTTCCTCTGCCAGCTACGTATAGCGAGAATATTATGAGAATATTGAAGTAGCCTGTTGAAAAATCAATCGAATTTGATATAAACTGCGACTTCTTTTGGTGTAACACTCATCGTTTGACGACAACCACCGTTGTTTCCGGGTGCATCAACAAAAGTGACGAATAGCATCAATCGAATAATGATTAATTTTAGTTCTAATCGTGCTAAGTCTTGTCCAGCACAAACGCGATGTCCACCACCAAACGGACAAAACACAAATGGATGATGATTAGCATCAGGTGCAGCATTACCAAAGAATCTCTCTGGAATGAACTTTTTTGGATCTAATGTCCAATATCTTGGATCACGTTGCATCAAAGAAAATGCCGATACAACTGTTTCTCCTTTACGAATATTTACTCCATCAATTGTAACATCGTCAGTGACTGTTCGATAAGCACCAATGGCAAGTGGTGCTAATCTCAATGTTTCTTTGATGACACAATCAATATACTCGCATTGATCGAGTAGATTCAAATCATTCAATAATGTATCTTTTGTAATATTATATTGTTTCAATTCTTGTTTTATTTTTTCTTGAACTTCAGAATTTTTACTTACATAATACATGAACCAAGATAGAATACTTGATGTTGTGTCAAAACCGGCCACAATAAATCCTAATACTTCATCCAATAATTCTTTTTTTGTGATTCCTCTTTGTTCGGCTTCATTTTTGGTTCTTTCTAATGTTTCATCTGTTTGTAATGATGATACTAATGATGCGATCAAATTAACAGGTTTATCATTTGGATACATTTCCATTTGACATTTTGAAATAATTTTTTCTGCCTGATTTTCAAGTTTTTTCAATGCATTTTGATACTTTCGATCAAATTTCAATAAATAATAGTTGACGATATATGGTAAACCATTCTTGGTGATACGTTTCAATGTATCAAGCCAAATTAGTAACGCTTGACCAAATTCGGATGGTTGATATTTTTCTTGTGGATTGATTCGTGTTGCTTCTTTGGCTAAATATTTTAAATTACCTAAATCATAATCAAACGTAAGAAGTGTGAACGTATCTAACATTAAATGTTGATTATCACTCAATAGACATGTACATATAATGTCATCTTGATTTTCATATCGAATTTTCCAAATATGAATTAATTGATCAACACAATTGATGATAATCGAAATTTGTGATAGAAACTTATTCTTTCTTAACATAGGTAGAATTACTTTAGCATGTCGTTTATATTTTGAACTAGTAAGTGAAATAATAAAATTCTCCGCTATTAATCCAAATGTGTTTACACGCATATCAGCACGATCGAATCGACAATGGTCTGTATAAATTTGTTCAGCATGTTCAGGTCGACAAAATATATACAAATGAGTGGCACCCATCCAAAATTGAAATATATCTCCAAATTTTCTTTGCATTTTATCACAACCATGAGTGTAAGTATCGATTTGTTCTCCATTTGATGCAATAATGTCGAGTTGACGAAGATTACCAAATAAGAATTCAGGTTTTAGACCCGGAACTGAACCACGTAGTGTATAGTATTTCCATTTGATATAAAAATAGATTGTAATGATAAATATTGTGATCGACGATAGTAAAATAGTCCAAAACATTTCTAAAGTAAATAGATTGCTCAAATACGAATGCTACCATTCGATTAGTCAATAAATACGCATGTATCAAATATGAAATTACGTCGATTGAAGTAGACTAGAACTATTGGAGTTTATTTTCTCTATATCCTTAATATTTTTTTGAAAAAGTTCTGTATAATACAAAGCATGAGTAGCTTTTCATCTCTACTTTACTCAAATTATCAAGTGACCAGACGCGAATCCACTATCATCAGCACCCAAGTCACTGCGTAGCCCAAAAGAAAATCCTGGATCTCATAGTGTTAGTGACTAGTACATTAATAGATATGTAGTTTGTAGTACTCAAAGTTACTAAATGACTTCTAGACTAGTGGTTAATAATTTATGAATAGTTTAGTACCTAATAACTTGTGAATGCTTTAGTTAAATAAAAAATATAAGTTGTACGCGAACGAAAAACATGTTTGGAAGAAAAAACTTCATTTCCATTTAAAATGAGTATTCTTTAATTTTTGAGAAAAGGCTATAGTTCTGAGAATAATGCAATAATGATCTGTTTTTTCATATACCGATACCAATATTTCCATTAAATTTCAATACATGATTAAATCTATAGGAAGTTGTAGTAGTTCCGTGCTCTTGTACTTATAAGCAGAAAATGAGTTCAAAAGCTTTCAATAAAAAGTATAATCTTCTTATCTGGTACACTTTCTATGCATTCAACTCTTTACTTAAGTCATTCAATTGAGGAGTGAAGTAAATTTATCATTCCTAATACAGAGTTTCTATTAACTCTAATTTGAGGCTAAAGTTTTGTAGTACAGATGAAAACGTAACAGAGGATTGGTTTCGTGCGCAACGACACATTTGTACAGATGTCTTCGTCTTTTATGTGCTGGTACCTAACTGTTTTCATCGAGCAAGAGTTTATTTAATCCAATCTCAATGAGCTGTCACGTAGCAGGTTTGCCTCGGACAAATATACTATTGTAATATTGTTACTTCGAATAAAAATGTTTCAATTTATCTGGTTTAAAACGATTTTGACGAAAAAAGCAATTTATGAGAAAGCAGAGTAAGATGTCAAAAATGTAGAACTATAGCAGAATTTTTTAAATATATATGGTTAAATAGAACGTGATGAGCTGCTCGACAATGTATGTTTTCACTTTATTCGAATTTGTTAGGGGAAAAAATTTCAGTTTTCTCCAATGACTTACTTTTTTCTTGAAATGAGATCAATTCTTTTTGTTGCCTTTAAGAGTTTCAGAACTGTTTGTTTCAGATTCCTTATGAAAACCTGAATCTAAGACAGGCATTTATAAATGCCTTTTCTAGCTTTAGTTTTTCATACTAGATTTAACACAAACAGTTTTGAAGTATGAAGGAAACAAAAGAAAACCTGACACTTTAACAATCATCAAAAATAGACCTCTTTTTAAGAAAAGATAGGTGAATGAAAAAATCTGAAATTTTCCTCCTGAAGATTCGTTCTAATAAAATTAAAATATGTATGTTCCTGATTCACTCATTATCCTCTATCTAACCATATAAAAAAGTTCTGATTTAGTTTTGCTTTTTCGACATCTAATAAATACACATATTTCAAAACACATGATCGCAAAAGGAGAGATACTATTATTATTAATGCTCTTTGCGATCATCATTAATTACATTGCCACATATGCAATGCATAAACATTAGAGTCACTGATGCGTGAAGTCAAAGTTATCACCAACGTCCTACCATCTCTTTTCATGTAGATGGTGCGAACATACACATTCGATGAAAGTAAGAGAATCAACTTTATTACATTCATGAAAATTTCTTAATTTTGAGAATCAATGAAATGCATTTTATATAGTTCACTTTTCGAGCCAGATTCTTCATAAGCAACGAAAACTGAATTGATGTAGCGTATTAATGAAAGCAAGTGATAAACACTTTCAGACAAATAATTTCTTATATTGTTTGTGACTTCATTTCATACATTTATGTTGAACAGAAAATGACTAATATGAATACAAAGCATAAAAAGATATTTCGATTCCCATTCGAGCGCATATACCTTTTGCGTGTCATTCCATCAATGTTATTGCAACGGAAAATTGCGTCTAGTTCTATAATTTGACAACAAAATTATCCATTGCTGGAGATTTGTACACAAAGAAACATCGATAAAAAATATTCATAAAAAAGCATCAACTGAAAGATCCTGTCTTTTTTTTGGTGCAGTTAGTAAGACAAACTGAATTTTCCTAGAGGTAGATTAGCGAGCTCGTTAACATTTTAGATTTGAATAGATTTCAATTAAAAGTTGAATATGTTCTTTATCAGAATATATGAAATATTCTAACAATATTTACTAAGAAATGACAGCATGTAATAAATCGAAATTATCTCACCTTAAAATTATATCTACACAACAAAATAGCGAGATCATGTGATTGTTCGTTTTTTATTCTTTCGAATGCATTTATTCATTTTACATAGTTTTGTTTTTATTAATAACAGAACACAATGGTGAACGAATTTAGGGAGCTCGATTAGTTCCCAACAATTGTTGAATAGCTTACCTGAATCATGCATTGATGGAAGCGATTATCACTAATAATTAGATTGTGTTCAAGAAAATTTTAATGTAAAACTCAGGATGTATGATACCATCAATGAATATATCTGATATTTCATCAATCCATTGAGATAATCATTTAATCAATAGTAAAACAATTATGCTAATTCCATAGAATATTGTCTGAATAAACAGGCTCACAAATAAGTTTATCGTACACAAAATTTGACTCAACTTGTTTTTCTCAATAACTTTTTCAAATGTTTGCTGTAACTACTAATTTCTTTTCAATCACTCAAGCTCGCTCAGCCTCATCATCAACATGAGCTTTTATTACGTTTTTCAAAAATATTCATCATTAGTTCCAACTTGTTTTTATGTTAAACATGCATTCCTAATACTTTTAATGTAGTAATGATAACATTCAGTATTTTCTATAAGATCACAAAGAGTTTTTATATTGGATGTTGAACTCGGACATGTTCAGGATATTCTCTAATTGATGATGTAATAAGAAACTCAATCAAGCAAAGTCAAATACGGTTTATGAAGACTTACATAGATTTACGACATACTATTGTTTATTTTCATATTCAGTTTATTTATTAGCATAATATTTCATCGTCCCTCAGTCCAACAACCAGCAAATCAGACTACTTTAGATCTACTAAAATCTATAGTTCTTATCAAATATCACAAATAAACAGTATCGAGTTTCAAGTAATTTAAAAACAGGAACTCAAGCAATTTACTAATTGTATCTAATGATGATTTTTGGTAATTCATGATTCATTGAGAATGATAAGGATAAATTCGTTCAATCCATTATTTTGACTCTTTGTTAAGCTTACTCACAGGATTTTTATATAACAAGGAACGATCCAGATTATCGTATGAACAGAATATAAGAAAGCATTGTCTATCAATAACTCTAAAAGACTTAATTTTCTATCAGTTGATTTTGGTCGCCTCTCAAAGAGAGCGAAAGACAGTCTATTAAAACTCATGAATAGTCAATATTTGAATATGATATTAGGAAATGTTCAAAGTAGAATGTTAATAATGCAGAATCAATTTGTGTAGAGAATTTTTCTTGATGAAAATTCTGCACATCATTCGCTCATACTATTCGTGAATAAGTGAAATTTAGCAATCAATTTATGAATATCCTCAATATAATGACAAAGTATTGTATTTTGCGTAACCTGTATTGTGCGCTTTCCATGATGTTCAACTGAGTTTTGCTATGTCGTTGCTATCTAGTGAAAAATAAAAGAAAGAGAGAGAGAGAGAGAGAGATAATTCAAGTCGTCAGAGAAAAACAGAATCTTTCTTCATTTCATCAAGTAAATACAATTGCTCTTGAGACAATACTCTACATTCATTAGTGAACGAAGATATTTCCTCGATATAAATTTGCTGATATTATCCATAATCATTCTCCCAAAATATTGCTTACAGATATAGATTTTTGGTAATTAACTCAATAATATTAACTACTCTCAGAATACTGTTGAAATATTTTAGTGAATCTCAATCGTTTCTTTTCTTGATTCAGCTTTCTCAACGACGAATTTTCGCTATTAGGATTATTAAAAATTTCTTTCCTCCTATCAATATCCATTTTTCGATAATGAACTATACATAATGAACGATTTCTAATTTGAATATAATCATATCTTCGCACATTACATGGTTATAATAGTTTCTTCTTCTACAAAATGCATCTTATTCATATATTGCAAACATTCGTTTAACTGTGAAAGCTGAAATGAACATGGTTTTTATATTTCAATAACAGTCTCAAGTTTTTATAATATCAACATATTATGAGTATTCAAATGGTACAACACTTTTTTTTTGATATTACACAACAATTGTATCATCTGGATGAACGCATTCGAAAAAGTATACCTATCTTTAATATTTATTTTGAATAATCAAGTTCATCCGATATTACTACTTCTTCTCATAGTTGCGCATTGATTGTTTCACATTGAATATAGTTTCCTCGAGGTTGTTGAATATCAATTCGGTTATTACTATTGACATGTCAATCACCGTGAAAATAGTATATTTACAAATAAATGAATTATACAACCTTTAGATATATTGTGTCTTTACAAGCGATTATTATGAACATATTTAATGTAGAAAAGCTTCTCAGTTTCATGAATTCAAACATCATAAGTTTTTCGCATCAGTTGTTGAGCTTCTGATCGTTTAAGATTAGTAATGATTATTGAAAAGTAGGGTGTGGGTGTGAGTGGGTGATTGTGTGAGTGTGTGGGTGTGGGTGGGTGATTGTGTGAG